GGTTGCTTCTTGCGATGCTTATGGTAGTGGTCAACTGTAGGGTCCCAGGTCCAAGTTCCACAAGGTGTAGACGAAACAGTTTCCGCACCACATCACAGTAATGTGTCACTGCAGCGTGTATTTTGCCTTAGTTGTCGTGGTCGCTCAAACAAGGTACTACTGCGACCGGCCGGTGGCCGAGCGGTCTGCACGTTTGGTTTTGCAACCATAAGGTCACCGGTTCGAATCCGCGTAGGGGTGGGCGTCCTCGCGGTATACTCAGCCCGCGCGCGGCTGGTGGTGGTCGCGCTGGCAGCGAAGCGCCGTTACGGCGTATAAGCTGACACCCTTCTTTTTTCTTTTTCTTTACTATTGCGAATGCAGCGCTGAGTTAGGATACCATGGGAACGTCACTCTGTGCAGAGTAAGTCGTTCTGGAATGTATGCATTAAAAACCGAGTAGTGTTATAAAGCGGTCGTTAAGGGTTACATTAAAAGAGCACGAGGTTATGGTAAGCCATTTTATCGATCAGAAAAATGTTGCACGTCTAAACAAATATGGAGCGTTTAGTACACACCACACATCTCTGTGACGGTGTAACATTGTACGCTTTGTGACGCGCGTGTTGAATGATGGGTGAGGTATTGAATTAGGGACTTCACTATAGTAAACTATGTGAGCTTTCAACCTAATTGATGAAAGTGGCAAACTGCTGCAAGCTCAGCTCAGAATTACCATGTGCTGCATCGCCTCAGACAGTAACGTTTTCTTTGCACACAATTGCAAACTTGAGTTAAAGTGCTGTGTGGAAAACGCATTTCTCTACGCTATCCTCCTTATACCAATGTAGCACCTTAAGTGACAACTTAGAAGTAAGCGTGTGGCATTAAGCTTATGCCAAATAAAAAGGAGGTGACTTCCGACAGGATTATTGATTTTCGTCTCAATTTGAAGGACTTAGATCTTTACGGTCAGTTGCCTGTGCAGTGGCAGTCGACCATATGGGGAACACTGGCTTAAGTATGTGTATACTGAATGACCAGGCTGTCATCCAACGTGTATCGGATTAACTGGATATTTTGCACCCGCTTTAATGGACTGAAGTGCGAACGGATTGACTTATAGTGACCAACTTGTGCTCACCATAGGCATTTTATCTAATCTTCAACATTCCTACGCGTCCGCGAACTTCTTCTTGGAACTTGATTGGAAAGCTTTGTTCGAAGTCATGTCAAGCGGTGTTTCGGTGTTTATTATCGGGCCACACCTCTCTACCGCCTCCAAGCATTGACCTAGTGTTGAGATGTCGGTTTCGTCGGTTTCGTCCGTTTTCCCTCTCTTAATATCCAGTTCACTTGATACCCATTTACTACTGATTCCCATGGCAGTAACAAGTGCTTTTAACTCACCAGAAACTGCATCGACATTTCAGTCAAGAAACCAAGAGAATGGTGTCGGGTTCCGAGAAACCAGTG